TCCAAACTGCAATTTTCTTGCAGAGGTCTGGCACAAAGTCTGGTATTTTAAAGCAAAGTAGATAAATCAATTCAGTGCCTCAAAAAACTCAAACTTCAGTTCTTGAAAGACCTGAAAGTATCTGAACAAATATTTGTCTATGCCTTAATAGTCACACTTAATAGTCCCTGGATGATTATCAGTCCATTAGAGGGGTTTGGGTAATCACTGCAGTCTTCTCAAACTCAGAGGTCTCCAGTCATGTTCTGCATCACAAATCAGAGAGACGAGTGTTCAAACAGGATGACTTTGGAGTGGTTAGAGAGGCTGGAGAGCCTGGACGGTCTGAAAGCTCCAATCCGAGAGTACACATCTGCGTCCGAGCAGGCACCCCACGACAGGTGAGGGCTAGGCGGGGTGGTGTGGATCACAGGCAGGGGCAGAGGGAAGGCCAGGACAGGAGGTGTTGGAGGGAGAGAAGGTGGAGTGTGGAGTGGTGGTGGAGGCAGCACCGGAGGTGGGGGGAGCGGCAGTGGGGGTGGAGAAGACACAGGTGGGTGGGGGAGTGGGGTGATGACAGTGGGGATGACCGGGGTTACGGTTTGGACAGGCGGAGCAGCTTCAGGGACCGTCCCGTTCTTGGCTAGCAGGTCCTGACATGCTGCAGGGTGTTTGAGTGTATAGGTGGCGGTGTGGAAGAAGCTATAGTACTCCAGAGCGTGCCTCGCCCTGGCCAACCTCAGCCTGCAGGACACAACACAAATGAGGGTTTTTTTTTCTTTTTGCCCCTGTATTTCACCAATGGCGTAACTCCCTCAATCTGAGATAAAAAAAAACATGCTGGTCAACATTTCGGGTAAGATGAGAATCGTTATATTAATTTAAATCTCATATCCTTGCATTAAGTAGAGAGCTGGTGTCAGGAAATAGTTAGGCTGGCTTAGCATGAAGACTGAAGGTGGGGGAGACAACTCTCCTGGCTCTGGCTCCGTCTAAAGCCTAAAAGCTTGGTCACAACAGAAAGTGGCACAGCGAAATTTGTCTTTGCATTATTTATTTTTTGAATTTTATTGTGAAAGCTGCAAACTCGCACATCCTTTCTGAGGAAAAATACAGCTGTAGCAGGAGCACAGGTGCTGCACCTATTGACAATATACTTTTCAAAGAACACAACTGTCAAACTGCCAAAACAAAAGGACAAGACAAGGACGCTGTAAACCAGTTAGCTGTAAAGTTTGTGTGGAGATATAGCAAATTCAGGCCTCAAATAGCACCGGTGCCTGCGGGCGGGTGGACGCAGCAGCAGGAATCGTGAATAGCAACAGAACTATTATGCTTCTAATTTCGCAAGTGAAAGTATGTGTGTTTAATCATGGGTCCAGTACTAAGCTCTGTGGGTGCGGGTTTGCAAAACTGGACCTATGTAGGACAACTGTAGCTGGAAACACTCTAGCACTGCGAGAATGGCTCCTCAAGCTTCATTCTACCACTACTACTACTGCTAGAGATGATCGAGTACACCATTATCTGTATCTGTTCAACCTACTACATTTTCCAAAAGAGTCCAAAATGAAAGAAGCTATTGTAGCATATTAGCTGTGTTCCTTCAAAGGTCATCACTGTCACGGTGTAAAGTCTCCCCCACTCCAGAGGATAATGTGCGTATATTTACGTTGCCTAACTATTATGCTGCCATGTTCCTGTTTCACCTGGGTCAGAGACAGATCCAGCTCATGTGGTAACACATGAAAGCTACTTTTAATAGCTTAATATACTTTCTTTTAATAGAATATAAGAATATCTTTGTAGAAAACAAACAGTAAACAGGGTGAAAAAAGATCCAAAGGCCTGGGATGTGGATCAAGTTGGTTTGTTACATCATGTATTACTCAGTGACATGTACACACCTGTGTCTCAGCTGTAAGAGTCTGTACAGCAGCAGCAGGATTATAGCTCCAGCCACAGTCACCAGAAGCACGGCCACCCTCACGTCCAAGTTCCAGCATGATTTCCCAGCAGGTCCAGGTGTGTTGCAGGTCCTGGGGGGCCGTGGTGTCTGGAGGGTTCCCTCCATACCCTGCTCAGGGCTGATGATGGCGTGGACCAGGACGGGCTGAACAGTGTCCAGCAAGCTCTTAGGCTGAGGAGGGATCTGGAGAGACGTGCTGCTGGTGACCTGAAGACCAACCTGCATTGTTGCCAGGTTTGATCCAGAGGGGAAGAGTGGTGGAGCGTTGCTTGATCTAATCTTATTTTCCCATGTTGAGATGTCTGAGTAGTTCCTTCAAATGGCTTTAAGCGTCTCTGCTCTGTAACATAAAAAGTTCTCAATCACAGTATGTTTCAAAATAAAGCCTTTGTATTGTTTTCTTTATGTCTTTGTATCTATTTCACAATTCAGTGTTAAAGACTGCTATTTTAGGATGCAAACACTGTAAAAAGATACTATCCACTTAAAGAGTAACAGAGCAACCAACCAGTCTCTCCTGGAAGTTGCGGCATTATGATTGGAACAATTAACACAAATTCAACCAACCAAAAAAGTTATTTTCTGTTTTGTTTCCCACGCTGTACCAAATACATAACAAACCATGACCACAAAAATGAGGTACATACTGAACTGTGTATTTACTGTATATGGGCAAATATAAGAAAGAACACACTTTTTAACAAAAAAGTAACTTACTTACTTATTCAAATTTGATGGCGTTGTTCTAGGCATATTTGAGAAAAACAAAAATAGAAAAAACGAACAGGAGCACTGGTTAAGAACTGGCTTTCCAGGACCAAATGGAGAATCCAGAGGACACACCAATGGGAGGAGGCCAGTGAAAACCGCAGGAAACAGTGCACTTCCCTAACACACAATCCTGAGATGTGATTGGAGATCACTTCCTATCACCATGGTTACAGGAAACTGGTCAAGGGTGTCTTTTTTTAAGGACTTCATTGAGTCGAGAGTGGGTCTGAACAAAACACCCATGTGAGTACACGCAAACTCAGAATAGCAGCTTACAAAGGGTCAGCTGAGGAGAAAACATAGTTATTATTCTTCATCCCTGCAATGATATTGTAGCACTCCATCCATGTAGGATAACAAAGCAAACCAAGCCTCTTATCACACATCATACAAGCTGGAACTGGTACGAAGTCAAAAACTCTTAGTCTTAGTCCTAACTCAGGGAACAAAACACCAAATAGAGCGGTAGAACCATATATACACAGTCTGACCTTTATATCAGAGCTTTATCTGGAGGGGGGATTGGGGGGAGAACAAATTAAACAAAAGCAGTTTCAAAGTGAAAGAGAAACGACTGTGTCAGTGCCACCAATGCGGCCCACATTAGTCCCGGCTGTGCCAGTGCGGGTCAACAGATGCAGAGAGATGGTAGCCACCGTGAAAGGCTGGCCGCTATCTGATTGAGCCGGTATTCAGGGGACGAATAAATGACACACAGGCACAGAAAGAGGCCGGGCTCCGACGCAAGTCCACCTCTCATTTATCTGTCTAATAAGTTCTGATGCCGGGCCAAGCCGAAAGGGAGGAACTCTTAGCTCTCACTCAATATCCCTGCCTGGCACCCTCACAATCCTCTGATATTAAAGAAGAGAGTAATATTAAAAGATCTGTTATCAGGGGCCCAATTGTAGTTCAGGGGGGAGGTGATCCGCCCAGACAACGTGCTAGAAAGGAATTTGGGAGCTGTACGGTTTCTTAAAACCACAAAGATGCCTAAAGAAACAAGTGTTTTCATTCTGATATATTCTGTTACTTTATTCTTTTGTTGTGCCATGTCGTATTAATTAGACCAAATTCAGGATTTTGGGGAGGCTAATTAGTATAGAGGATGGACACATTTTGTGGCCAGGGTTCCTGCACTAACAGTCATTGTCATTTTGCCCACATACTATGTTACACAACTAGCAGCTGGATGATTTCCATTATCTGGATGAACAGGGATCTCTTGTGGTTTAATCATCAGCACAAATCATCGGTAATGGGGGGGAAATGGTACAAAACGATGTCCTTTTTTTCAGAAATCAGAGCCCCAGAGAGTGCTCTGTCATCAAGTTGCAATTGGACGTTGAGCTTTGTATCCCCAAAACTGTGTTTTGTTTTGTTCTTGTGTTTTGTTATGTGGCTGAAGTGTTATTCATTGCAATGCTGCTTTAGTGACATGAGCATTTCTCTGGCACCAGTGAGAGCTGGGAATACTACTGTATCTGCTAGGGTTGTTAATAATAATAATCTAAGGCATATGAATAATGAGGAAAGTGAACATTATGGTGATATTGTTAATAATGGTGTAGATGATGAGGATGACGATGATGACAATTCGATGAGCATTAGGAAGACTAAAGATGATAATAAAGATCATGACAGTGTGGATGACATTGATGTTGATGACTGATGATGATGACAATGAGTATGATGATGAGGACAATGAGGATGAGGACTCACTAAAGATGATGATGATGATGATGACAATGAGGATGAGGACTCACTTGATGATGATGAAGATGATGACAATGAGGATGAGTACTCACTGATGATGATATGATGAGACAATGAGGATGAGGACTCACTGTATGATGATGATGATGAATGATGATGATGATGACAATGATGATGATGATGACGATGATGATGATGACGACGAGGATGATGATGGCGGTGATGACGATGATGATGATGATGATGATGATGATGATGATGACGAGGATGATGACGATGATGACGATGATGATGAAGTAAAGATTGTGATGTTGAGGATTCTGATGATGATAATAATAATAAGGATGATGATGATAAAGACGTTGATGATTAGAAGGAGGAAAATGATGTGTTAAAGCTGATGGCGGTGAAATAAAGACAGCGTGGGGTGAAAAGCAGCAGAGAGAATCCTCCAGTTAATCATCCCAGAGATCTGAATCTATTCATGAGCTCTTAATGTGAAGAGCTAATGTGGCCGTTGTCATCTGAGTGTGGAGCCGTCGCTCTGACAGGCTGACGGAGCCAACCGACTGAAGTAGGAGTTCAGTGATTGGACTTTCTGCGTGTATGACTAAAGACTAACAGGGAGCTGTTAAGTGCTCTTTGACTGGCCATCCACAGTTAACCTGCGCTGCTAAACAAGAACGTCCATCAAATTCTGGACTATAATCGCCTTCAAAAGTCTGACGCAGTGTGTGGGAAGAAAGACAGTAAGGAAAAAAAATGTTTTACTTGTGTGTATAGAATCACAAAATGAACCGTGTGCCTTAAGAATGTTTCCCTATTAAAGACCTTGCCAATAAAGTCATGGGTTTAGAATAGAATAGAATCAAAAGGGACCACCAGTGTGACTCCCTTGAGTTGCTGTCAAAACGTCTTGCCTTCAAGACACGAGGAGTGAGCACCTGAAGATCTTTGCTGGTACACCCTGAAGAAAGGACACCTGAGCCATTCATTTACTGATGAAGACCACAAAATATAAGATAAGATAAGATACTGCTGCTTATAAAACACCACTGTATGGTCCTTATTTCAGTCTTAAAATGCTAGCCTCACAGTTAGCATGTTATGACCCAGGGCCATAGCTAGCACTGAGGACAAGTTTACTTTCTACAATTACAAATAACTTACACAGAATGTTTGTATTACTACCGATTCAATATGCTTTTGAATCAATACTTTTTAAAAGTAAAAAAAGTGGCAGTGTGGCATTCTTTGACCATAATGAAATTTATAGTAAATATAACTGAACGGTTTAATTAATAAATATAATTTGTTTTTGGGCACAGGGAAAGACTGAGTCAATATTTGTCCTCGAGGCCTCAGTCTGTATAATATCCAGGCTATGGCCCTGCTTCATTCAAATAAAGACTAAAATCATATTTTTAATGACACATAGTTGTTGACAGTAAAAGGCAAAATATTCATACCATTTGAATATTTTCGGTTTGTTTACTGATCGCAGGGTTGGCAGATCAATCCCCATCTCCTCCTGTCATGCCTTAGTGTCCTTGAGCAAGATGCTGAACCCCACATTGCTCCCGATGGTCAAGCCAGTACCTTGCATTGCTTCGGATGAAAGCACCATAAAAAATTGAGCCATTCACAATTTGATATAAGATACAGTACTACACAAAAAAGATCAAAAATAACATGTTGATCTTTTGTTTTACTTAGAATAAAATACACTCTTGTACTGTGGCCAAATTTATATGCCTTTCCATTCTCATTTATACACTGCGTTTTCATTCCCAAGTTTTGTTGCACCCATCAGCGTCTCATACTGACGCACAAGAGTTGGGAGTGACATTGTGTTAGGCCGTCCATCCGACTAGTTAAAGTTTGCCCAGGTTAGACGGTGATAAACAGATGGTTTCATCCAATCACCTCCCAGGTATGTTTTTGAAAGTGCCTGCCCTTTTCCAAACAGTTTTTAACAACGACTTCCCAAACCATTTGCCACAGTCAGTTTACATTCAACAGGTTTCAACTGTATTTTCTTAAAAACAAAGGTGGTTTGAAAAGCTCTGGAGGAGTCACATTAACTATGTCGAACTCTGACATTTATTTTAAAAAAAACTTGAGCTGCATGCATAATCTGGTGCATTTATTAATAGAAGTATTTTACATAAAAACTGACTCATTTCAATGTGCAATTCAACATACCCTGTAATTTATTTCTCCTTCAAAGTCTCTATGGAGTGATTAGGCCTTATCTGCCCAGTCAACCATAAGAGGGTAACATGTCTTTACTGGTCACTGACCAGCATTTATCTAAATTCCACACAACCCTAAAATAGCATCCACCCTGGCAAGTGGTGACGACTGCATCAGGGAGTTTTAATTTTCAATAACATCAAGTACACTTCAAAGATAGCGAATAAGTTTGTGAAAGGAAATTATAAACTCAGTGATACATTTGTAACATTGATATCAGGAAATTGAACCCATTGCTGGAGCTCAGACAGCACAGAAGCAAATTGGCCATTAATGTTGAGCTTAATAACACAGCAGAGGGCTAATATAGGGATATATAAAATAAATTGACTTGACATCACTAGATGCTGGCTGCATAATCAAAACATTATTGTATATAAACATTAGCTAAATTAATAATTATTTCATTATATGATGTTTATATAACACAAATAAGCCTTAAAGCCTTAAAGGTGCAATTATAGACTGATACTTTATTAATAAATAAGGATGGTGATATTCTATATTGTTCTTATTGTTACCAAATCCCAAAGGTCAAAACCAACTAATGAATTCATCCTGGCTGGGTAACCTGGCTCTGTCTGAAGCTAACAAAATCTGCCTACTGGCACCTCTAAAGCCCACTTATCAATAGATTATATCTCACTTGTTTAATCAATAGACAGTTAACAATAAACACAGTGAAATCTGCCAAAAGTTGGGGGAGCATTGCTATGGAAGCCCAGTATTCATATTAAATTATGTTTGACCTATCATCAGGCCCTGCGGTGGGTATCAGGCTTTGCTATAATCAATCTACTGAGCCCCATGACAGGTGACACCATTCAAGCTCTGACCCAACGTACCTTTAAGCTGCTTTTAAATCCTGCTTTCACCCAAGAAAACATTGACATGAAAGGATTTCACTCTCGGCACAAAAGGGAATCAGCATATTTGTGTTGGACTATTCCTGAAAAAGTGCTTTTGTAAAGTCTACAAGAAAAACTACTACATAACTGATGTTGGCTTGATAATAATTAGGATAAGATGCATGATGCCTCTGGTTGCTGTGAAGCACATAATCTATAGCCATCAGGTGTCAACTGGTACTT